CTGATTGTCATATCTCTTCCACTTTTGGATGCGATCATTTGGTTACTGTGTTTATCTACATCTATGGGGAACAACTTACTAGATTCTTTCCTCTTAAAAATAATGTCATCCTATATATGACATCATCAATTAGTGAGCGCATATTCGAATCTAAAAAAATGTCGTAATGTTAGAACAATGTTTTATGGTGAAAAAAAACACGCTTCGTTCTTCATTGTTCTTTGCTATTTATCACGTAGATATCTGATATAAACATATAAACTGGGTGTTGTTAGGAAAAAAATTCATCTACTCAACGCTAATAAATGGTGCTTTTTGCTGTTCGGTTGGATTTATGTAAGGATGTGTATCAATCCACTTGGGAGGGGAGGGAGTCCCATTTTGGCTCGGGGTCAGCAGTCGCATTAATTTGTAGACACATTATTGCAAGATTTACAGTATATTCACCAAGCGGCGACAGTAGTCAAGCTTCCGAGAAAGGCAGGGAATTTAGGGATGATGTGTGATCTTCACATAAGAGGTGGTTCCAAACTGATGAAATGTGTGAGAGATACAAAGACATGCTCTTGTCCTACCTGGCTACTTGATATTTCTACACACTGCACTCTAAACAAAGAATATTCCAAATGTTTCTATAACATACTATCATCATCTGAGGTATACCAGACCTGAAGTTTACACACCACACTAGCATCCAAATATTGTAGCTTCCTGACGACTGATTGCATTAAATAGTACTACATTCCTGATGAGTAATCACTGTTTAAACACAATGCAATGAGCGTCTACTCAACAGAGCGTCTCAACAGAAACTATGTAACACACTTACAATCATTGTTAAACAATAAAATTCACTGCAATATAACACTGTAAAGAACAAGAGATACAACATAGACTTATAATAGATCCAAAAGGGTCCCAGTCAATCGATTCTACAAAACAGGACACAACATTAGCTCCCATGGTCAATAGAGCGCACCTGCTCGGCATCTCCTTTAACTCTTTGTCAAAGCTATCAATCACGCCTCTATTGCAGTGTACATGCAGTCACAATTTTCTCTGTATTGTGTGGAATATTCCTCTTGCTCGAGCAAAATTATTTCATGATCAACAGCATGCATATTAAGCATCATTAGTTTATTCAACCTCCTTTGACAGGCTGTGTGGATTTGATTCTGAACGCTGAACCCACGCTCTGCAGGTAAGCTGCTTTACTGGAATAGTGATTGCAATGGCAGCCAGTCGTGCAAAGTCGGGGAATGTGTCAGCATATTCATTTATCAGGACCTGGCATGCATTCGCAAAAGAAACAGTGCCAAGGCCAGCTACAGCTTGCTTGAATTGCTGGAAATCTCTTTTGCAATGATCTCGATTGAGCAGGTGTGCTGTGACATCATTATCATCTGGACCACTGACTGGGCTGAAGTGATTCAGAATTATGTGAAGGGATTCCCCTCCGTGTGCGGTACTGAAGCACTTGTGGGTACCTCGAGGTATCAGAACGATGTCCAGTGACCGCAAGACACTAAGACCATCAGCAGGAAAAAGATTGCGTAATGATTGAATCAAATCTTCAATAAAACCCACTCGTTTGTCTTGAAAGGCAATGACAGACATCGGATCTGAGTATGTCAACTTGACACCATGAAAATCACTATCAATTACATTCTCCTTCAAATGCTTTTCATGTTTACCAGTTTCATCCAATAAAGCTTGTAGGCATCCAATAGTTGACTCCACCATTGGCTGTATCATAGCTAGGTTCAGGTTGTCCTTGGTGACGGTGACAAGTTTTTCCATGTACTGCAGAAAATCAGACAACATGTACGTAGTCGCAACAAATGAAAATGTTTTCAATGTATTTACCGCCACTGTGTTGTTACGCTGGGCTGCCTCTTCTTCTTTTTCAATGACTAAAGCTGACCAATTCAATCTCGTAGAAGTAACAGCTCAAATCAGCAACAACCACCTTACAGTACAGGGCTGTTTGACACTGGAGAATACTGTGTCGTCCTAAACTGTACAAAGTTCTTTTAATACTGTGTCGCAGTTTAAGCACGTCATTGATTGTTGTACAGTAATCCGATATGCACTTTGATAGTTTAGCTGCATCCTGCGACCTCAGTCTCAGTCTCTCAATAACACCACTCCTGATGCTGGTCATAACGCTTGCCTCGTCAGATCCCAAACCAATTATTTGGTTCATTGGCATACCCCACTTCTCCATCGCATCTCTGATCTTTGCAGTTATTATTTCTGCTGTTCCCGCATGAATGGTATAGTTTCCAAGAAATATTGTCTCTGCTTTGCTGCCATTTACCGTACGGGCAAAAATTATCAGTTTTTCAACAGTATACGGATTCTTTGCCTATTGTGTGTACAGTTTCTATACCAATAGGAGAGGTGCAGTACATAGTTTGATTTCGATAAGCAGATTTTCTGAGAAAATATTGAATTTTTTTTCATGCTTTGAACTAAGAAATATGTTGGTTCAAAGTCGGGGTTATTAGTGAGCCCTGCTCACTTTTTGTCTTGTTTCTACACAAATCTATATGTACCTGTTTCTTAGCTTGGCTCGATTCCAGGGATTTGCAATGTCCCATGACATTGCAAGACAGATTACCATAAGTAAACAAAGCAGATGACAGTAACATATGACAAGCATGTGATAGAGATTCTGTTTATATCAAATTCAAAAGCAGGGCAGATGATAATTTGAAATGATGCGCCATTGTTATAATGTGTTTCATACAAAAGACCCACCACCAATACAGTAATCGCCATTACTAATTTCAACTGAATTTACACAAAGTGTAAACTTATCGTTGGAAAATGTCCCATAATTATCCCCCACCAGCAAGTGGGGCGGGGGAGTTTGTCAGTCGGTCCGTCCATCCGTCTGGTTCTGAAAGAGGACAAATTTTCTCAAAAACAATTTAAGTAAGAGAAATGAAATTTTGCACACTGGTGTTACTGGTCATGATCTCAAATGAGTTCGAAAATTGATGTTGTAAATTCAAGTTTGACAGAGTTATGGCCCTTGCTCCATGATTTTCAACTTAAAGTATACTATGTGAAATTAGGACAAGTTTTCTCAGAAACAACTGAAGTTTCATGAATGAAACTGGGCATGCTTATCTAAGAGATACTTGTCAAGACTGAGTTCGACAATTGGTCCCGTAAATTATTTGTTTACAGAGTTGTGGCCCTTATCCCATGTTATTTTACTTTGTGCATATTTTGTGCAGTGGGGACAAGGTTTCTCTGAAACTACTGAAGTGAGTGAGTGTATATGGTTTTACGCTGTTTGTAGCAATATTCCAGCAATATCGCGACGGGAGACACCAGAAATGAAACTACTGAAGCTACAAGAATGAAAGGTTGCATGCTTATCTGAGAGATACTTGTCAAGACTGAGTTAAAAAATTGGTCCCGTCAATTAATTGTTCACAAGAGTTATGGCCTTCAATCAATGTTATTTGTGCAATGGGGGCAAGTTTTCTCAGAAAAGAGATACTTAACAAGACTGAGTTATTTTTTTACATAGAAAGGGCCTTTTGTTTGAATTAATTTCACATTTAATAATTTTTTCTGGTGAAAAAAAGTTGCCCAAGTGCCTATTTCTTCTTAAGGCTTTATGGGGCTCTTTTTTTATCCCCCGCCGCGCGAAAGCGCGAAGCGGGGGATATAGTATTCACGACCGTCCGTACGTCCGTCCCACCTGTTTGTTGCCGCGATATCTCAAGAACTAAACACTGGATTGTCTTCATATTTGGAACTATGGTGTATATACAGACTCCGCAGACACTAGTCGGTTTTGGTGACCTTGATCCCATTTTCAAGGTCACAGCAGACAAATCTGCTTTTAGAGTTGGAAAACGGTGTTGCCGCGATATCTCAAGAACTAAACACTGTATTGTCTTCATATTTGGAACTATGGTGTATTATACAGACTCCGCAGACACCAGTCGGTTTTGGTGACCTTGATCCCATTTTCAAGGTCACAGCAGACAAATCTGCTTTTAGAGTTGGAAAACGGTGTTGCCGCGATATCTCAAGAACTAAACACTGGATTGTCTTCATATTTGGAACTATGGTGTATATACAGACACCGCAGACACCAGTCGGTTTTGGTGACCTTGACCCCATTTTCAAGGTCACAGCAGGCAAATCTGCTTTTGGAGTTGGAAAACGGTGTTGCCGCGATATCTTAAGAACTAAACACTGGATTGTCTTCATATTTGGAACTATAGTGTATATACAGACTCCGCAGACACCAGTCGGTTTTGGTGACCTTGATCCCATTTTCAAGGTCACAGCAGGCAAATCTGCTTTTAGAGTTGGAAAACGGTGTTGCCGCGATATCTCAAGAACTAAACCTCTCGATTGTCTTCATATTTGGAACTATGGTGTATATACAGACACCAGTCGGTTTTGGTGACCTTGACCCCATTTTCAAGGTCACAGCAGGCAAATCTGCTTTTGGAGTTAGAAAACGATGTTGCCGCGATATCTCAAGAACTAATCGCTGGATTGTCTTCATATTTGGAACTATAGTGTATATACAGACACCGCATACACCTGTCAGATTTGGTGACCTTGACCCCATTTTCAAGGTCACAGCAGGCAAATCTGTTTTTGGAGTTGGAAAACGGTGTTGCCACAATATCTCAAGAACTAATCGCTGGATTGTCTTCATATTTGGTACTATGGTGTATATGGCGGGGGATATTTCGTCACTCTGTGACAAATACTTGTATAGTTTATTTTCACAACAATATGAACAAACAAACTTTTAATGTGCCTCATGGCGGGGGATAGTGATAAAGTTGTTTTCGTGTTGAATTTTGCAATAACCCAGTCACAGTTGAGCACCAATCCGAGAGAATGTATGTTGCTCCTACAAATATTGTCTACTTCCAGTGATTTTTATATGCATATCAAACTTTCAATGTATGTATGAGTTTCTGTTTTCGACTATACAATTATTCTTTTTGTAGGTATGCCTACTTAGTGTTTTCATCGGAGACCATTGCAGAAAAGCACTACAAGTTATTTCAACACAAGACTTTGAAGGGCCAAAGTTTTATAGTTGACTTTGTAGGCCGGAAAAGTAAGGTCTTCACCAAGGGTTCTGCATCAAAGCAATCAGGTACTGTGTAGCATTTGTAAGAATAACCTCCAAGTGATTGTTTAAGGTTTTGTCTGAATTTGACCGCCTCCACATGGATTCTGTCCGCCAGAAGTAGATCGGTTTATCACAGTAGTTATGGGCTAGTTGTCCATTCAAAATTGCAGAACACAACTTTCTCAAAAAGAGCACCATTCCCAAAAGGCATGTAGATATGTGGTTTATTTTCTGAATATGTTTGCATAATCAGTCGTTGATGTTTGGCCAATCACTTCCAAGTAGCATTGACATATAATATAAACTTCCTTTCCTCAGCCTCGGTTATTTTCTGAAGCATAGTTTTTTATGTTGTGTGTCCAAAAATTATTTTTTTAATTAAAAGTGCATTTTCAATCATAGAGGAGTCATGTTAAAATCTAAGGAGCCACATTAATTGAGGATTACAACTTATAAAATTTTAAATGTTTAAACTTATCCTATCTCACACTTTGCATTTCTCCCTTCTTCTTCGATCCTATGTGGGAACGTGCTTGAATCATGTTTCCAGCTTCTAAAACTAAAAATAGCCACCCAAGCCCCCCCTGCATCTCCATGGTTACGTCCAAAAGGTAGGTCAATTACGTGTCAATCAGCGCTCTTGCTCACAGGTTCGACGTTTGCGCTCACAGGATCGGAGATCTCGCTTACAGGATCGGCATTCTCGATCGAGTTTCCATGAGTGTCATTGTTCCCGCTCCCGATCGTCTTCGACTAACGGTAGAGACCGGTTATCAATCATTGACTACCACCATAGCGGCTACCCTCACGGGACCTTTTCGGCGGTGGATACCTACGCGGCCTGTCATAGAGGATGGGTTACCTACCCGATCTACCATGATTCTTATTACCAGCTTCCCGGATATGCTCACGGTTTCCTGACTACCGCTCTTCTGCCGGCTTCACCTACCGACCTCACAGTTCACAGGATCGGCGTTTGTTGTCGTATAAAGAACGTGATCGTCGAATTCATTTTCAGAGCCGTTCTCCTTTGGCGCACAGATCGCCGGAGCATAATCCTTCTAGGTGGGCTCCTCCCGACCTTTGTCAACCTATCCTACCCATGAGTAGGGATCACAGGTATCAACAACAGGCTTCAGAACCATCATTTTATTCTCTTATGAAAGCAATATCCACTGTCCATCTTCACCGTTCGGATCCTTCATCGACTCCTCAACCTACTGATCAAGTTCCGGTTCCAGTTGTCTCCCGTTCGACCCCTCCCGGCTCGGGTGGTACGCCCTCTACTTTTGGCGAACCCAATTTCCTGGCTCAACAAATTGACAGTTCATGCCCGTCAGGCGTTCTTGACGATCCTGTGTCAACGCCTTCCTCTGTTGGGAGTTATGAACCAGCGGACCCTGAATCAGTCTTGCATTGGATAGCTGATAAACTGCAGTTACAGTTGACGACTTCGGCTGCGGATAGGTTCTCTGGATTCTCAGTTCCATCGGCTAGTTCGTCCAAGATTACGCTCCCTCCAAGACCGGTCTTACTGGACATTAACTCTAACCTAGACACGGCTTTCGCGTCCTTTCGTCGACTTCGGGATCGTCTCCATATCCCCTGCTTCATCCTTGAAGACACAGGCACTCATGGCATGTCTACTATGGTCGTCTCCCCCGAGATTGACAGTGACGTTTCTACTCTGTCTCAGAAGCGCTCAACCTCGTCTTACGTGGTTGAAGATCGGGACCTAACGCACTTGAATACCACAGTCCGCAGAGCCCTCCCACTGGTGTCTACTATTTTGTCAGCCATGGACGCACTCTACCGTCTCTCTCTCCACTCATTCCCAAGAAGATGCCTTTACTCGGGGATTTATCAACCTTACACAAGACAAGCTTACGCAGATTTTGGACCTCGTCACTCACCACGCCGGCTTCATGACGGCTCTTCGTCGCTGTGGTGTGCTACAACATTCTTCCTGGGATGACCAATTTAAGGCCAAACTGTATCAGCAGCCCTGGTCTTCCCGCTCCTTGTTTGCTGATGCAATACAACAGATCGCACAGGACGTGCAGAGAGATTCTAGCCTTCAGGTCAGGGCGGACCTTCTACGTCTCCAAGAAAGATGATTGGAGGATCAACAGAAAAAGGATCGCCACTCGCCTTCACAATGCATCTTCTCAGACAACTTGGCTGGCTAATCACTGAACAAGTCGGAACTCATTCCCATTCAACCATTAGCACTTCAACAGCCGCTTCAACTGCGCAAATGGCAACAACTCCTGGGCCTCCTAACATGAGCGCAGGCCCTCACTGTACAGGGTCGACTTCATTTGCGACCTCTCCAATATTTCTTGCGCCCTTTATCAGGATCAACGATTGTCACAGACGGATTTCTCTACCGCTCAATCTCCACCCTCATCTTCAATGGTGGCTGGTCGCGTCGAACGTTTGCGACGGGGTCTCCTTGACGCCATTCGTCCCGTCCCTCCATCTGTTCGTCGACACTTCAACCGTCGGTTGGTGACACATTTTCAAGATCAGCAAGTAGCAGGGCGGTGGTCCGATGTAGAACGTTGCCTTCACATCAACAATCTCGAGTTCAAGGCAACAATTCTTGCGATTTCGCATTGGTCGGACCTCCTCCGGTCCTCCGCCCTCATGATCCAGTCAGACAACGCAGCAGTGGTGTGGTCCATCAACAGGATGGGATCCACGAAGTCGATGTCCCTACTCTCACTTGCTCTCGAGTTCTTTCGTCTCATCGACTCCCTCAACAGACATTAGTGCTCGTCACATTCCGGGGATATCCAACGTCATAGCAGACCCCCTGTCCCGACCAGACAGACCATCACCAACCGAGTGGTCTCTTCATCCACAATCATTCCAATTGATTTGTCAACTTTATCGGTAGACCTCTTCGCCACCCGCTTCAACGCTCAACTATCCCGATTCGTATCTCCCATCCCCGACCCTCGGGCTTGGGAGCATGATGCGTTGGCAATCTCCTGGGAAGGTCTCAATGCCTACGCTTTTTCCCCCGACAGGGCTCCTTTCCCCGGGTCCTACAGAAGGTAGCAGCCACCAATCACCTGTCTCTGATTTTGGTCGCGCCCTATTGGCCAACGTGCAACTAGTTCCCCACGTTGCTAAGGCTCACCGACGAACGATTTCATCCTCTTCCGTTCCACGACGACCTCCTCATTCAACCGCACTCTCAGTGGCTCCATCAGTCTCTGACATCGCTCCATCTTATGCACATCTGCAGAAGTCCCTAGTAGCAAAGGTTACTCCCAGCGTGTAGCGAAAACCATCTCTGCTGCCCATCGTGTTTCCACCAGGCGCCTTTATGACCACAAGTGGATGGCTTTTCAGACTTATTGTTGCGCTTGTGATATTTCCACTCCTACCTCGGCTTCGCCTCAACAGATTGCCGGAGACTTACATCACCTGCAATCGACTCGGAAAATTTGGGGGTCCACATTGGCAACCTACCTCGCAGCTATTAACTCTGTCATCGCCACCACTTCCGGTGCGAAGGTTTCCACGGTAACGAAACTACAATCGCTCATCCCTTCCTACAAATTAGCCGACCAAGCTGCTCGTTTTCGGCCTCCTTCGTGGGACCTAAACATTATTCATCAACACCTGGTTTCCAGTGATTACGAACCACTGACGGACAAGGATTTCGAGACAGTTATGCTGAAGACCGTTTTTTTGTTGGCTTTGGCCACTGCCGCACGGGTTAGTGAAATTCAGATTCAGATCCTGGGACTTTGTTTGGATTTCGTGGCAAAGAACCAACTGCCAGGACAACCGGACCATCTATATACGATTCCCCCGCTCTCAGCTATTTTAGGATCGAACGACCATGAAGACCTCTCTTTGTGCCCGGTTCGGGGGCTACAAATATATCTCGATGTGTCGCGCCTCCACAGAAGTTCCCGGAAGAGACTTTTCATCCCATTGTCAACTGCGTCTACATCGGAAATTTCTCGGCCGACGCTATCCTTCTGGCTCCGCTCCATCATTCTGCGAACGTATACTTTTGCCGGGCTGCCTCCACCTACAACGTTAAATCCTCATGAGACTCGTGAGGTTGCTTCCACCATGGCCCTCCACAGTAACTGCACCCTCTCAACCATCATGGAAGGGTGCTTTTGGAAGTCTGATACTGTGTTTGTGTCCCACTACCTTCGCGACATTTCAGTCACAGACGTACAAGGGCTCCATAAGTTCAGTCCATTGGTTTTGTCTCAACAGCTGTCTCGCCCCAGTTCACGCAGATAATAAACAGTTATACTACGGGGTTACAAGTGTATATACAGAGTAAATCATTGAACATTTACGTGGTATTACGTGTTCGATTTTTCCCAGATCGAGTCCCTTTCGGAGGGTGGATTAGCTCGTCTGTAGAGACTAATTTACGAAAGTGACCAATCGGTGCAGCCGATCGTATACATTCAGTCACAATCCTACAAGGACTCAACAAGATCGGTTTGTTGGTGTTGGCACAACAACTGTCTCGCCCCAGTTCACGCAGAACATAAACTGTTATACTTCGTAATCCTTGCAGGTTACAATTGTATATACAGAATAAATCATAAAACATTTACGTGGTATTACATGTCCTTTGATTGTTCGGGTTCCCCAGATTGAGTCCCTTTTGGAGGGTGGATAAGCTCATCTGTAGAGACTTTTTAGTCTTAATTTACGAAGTCACCATTCGGTGCGGCCGATCAAAAAACAAAACAAACACAACAACAAAAAAGATCAGTGTCCTGAACCTTTATTTCGCTCACCTCTGCCTAAGGTATTGTGATTGAGGGTTTTGGTTCGAAGGTCCATTGCTATGGAATATTGTCGATTGTTCCTCTTCTCGTTTTTGGTTCGCTTCATACACTTGAACGTGTTTGATAACCATGACGAAGTGTTAAAAGAGTTACCAAACCTAACGCACTCTATGGTCCTTGGAAGATAGTTGCTGTGTTTTGTTTGAAGAATCGATGCCCTTCCAGGATTGATGTCAAGTCGTC